TTCTAATAACGCTAACAAATCAATTTTTGCATTATTGTTGGTTATGGTTCTAAATGTTACGCATTAAAAGAAAAACAAAAACAAATTTTATTTAACATATTTAATTTATTTATTCAAATTAAAAAAAATATTGATTTTTAGAAAATTCTATGTCAATAAATTCTTAATAATAATTAAGGAGTGAAAATTTTCCTAACTTATTCTACATTTATAAATTTGATTTTTACTTTATTGACGCTATTTCCTTTAGAATAAATTTCACAAAACCAAAAAAACAAAAAATCGAATTTTGCTTTAATTATTTTCATTACTGGCACTACACACACTATTGACTTACTATATAGGTACGTACTAGTTGCTGTTATAAATGTTTTTTCCCCCTTTTTAAAGCTTCACATTTATAAAAAGGAAAACAACAAAAAAATAAAATGTTTTTTTTTTTTTTCACGATTTATTGTAAACGTTTCTCTTGTATTACGCTTTCATACGGCATGAAATAATTTTTATTACATAGTATAGTTATCAAACATGAATCAAAGAAACAAAAAAAGAAGAAAACAACAATAAAAAGTAATAAAAAAGTCTATAAAGTTGCATTTGATTTGCAAGGATTTAAAAAGGATTTTTTTTCGTATTTTCTATTTTCCATAATATTTTTTTTTTGTTTTACTTTAAAGAAGGGTAAAATGTAATTATTATTCGTATAACAGTCGAGTATATATACATCCATTTATAGTATATATGTAGTATATATTTAAAGAGAATTATGTACATACGAAGCAGTAGTGACTGTGAGAAATTTACAAATTTAAAACAACAACCATAATAAGGTGAGAAAAAAAAATATTGATTTTTACTTTAATAACTAAAAGTATGAAAAATTATGATTGATAGTTTGTTGCGCGAATATCTACAAATATTATTTATACAAAGATTTACCCTTTACAATTAATATTTTTTTCAAAAATTCTTTATATTTTGTATAATTAATGATCGGAAAATTAATTTCTTTTAATAAGGAAAATTAAACATCATTTTGTTAAATTAATTGCCACTATGACAAATTAGAGATTTTCAAAGTCTTTTTTAAGGTCTTATAACATAAGGGTTGCCATTATTTTAAACAAATTCGTTTGAGTTCTTATTACTTAAGAAAGATAAGAGAATTGTTATTGAAAGTAGTTTTTAATATAATTTCTGTTATACAAGCTAGTGGTTAAAAATTTTAATGCTCAAAGTAACTTCACGTATAGTTTTATTGTAGCAATGTTACGTTCATCTGTATTGAGTTACAAAAATCACATAACTACCCTTTAACTATACCTTAATATGGACGTATAAATCATTTGTTTTGAATTATAAATTAAAAAAAAATTAAGGGATATTTCTTTGAACTCAACACCGACTCAAATAACTACTAAAGTTAGAGCAATAATTATAATGAAATATATATGGGAGCCAAAATTTACTTATTTCTAAAATTAGATTTTAATATTTCTCACATATACACACACACAATAACCGACATACATATCTCACCTAATAAAATCTTTCAATTGATATTAAAATTCCAACTTTTCAAATTTTAAAATGCAAAACAAAATTGTTTATATTAAAAATTTTACAATTAAAATTATTTAAAAATTTATTATTACGATTTATTATGACGTCCTCAATGTATTTATTAAAGACACGTGAAAATTTTCTATTATGCAAAAAAAAAAAAACAGAAGGTGAGTATGCAAACATTTTCTTAAGAAAAACAAAAATTTGAAACTTTTTCATATAAAAAAAAATTTTTCTAAAACAAACTTTTTTACTTTAAATGTGACAAATTTTATGCGCCTTTAATATTTTATTATACGCAATAAGAAGCATGAATAAATTTTATGTAAATAAAAATTAAAATACTGTAAATTTTAAAATAAATAAAAATTGAAAATTACAG